CCGACGAGCTTCCCCAAAATGGTACGACGGACAAACCCTCTTTTTTGGAGTGGTATATTGAAAGCGCATCGCGCCGGGTCCGTCGCCTTCGCCAAAGCTCGGCTGCACGGCGCCGGGGACGCTTTCTGCGTGCCGGCCCGACGACCCACAATTCTCTAAACCATATATGTCAAAATTGGGCGAAGAGGACGGTGAGGGCTGAAATCGCCGGGGAACGCAGGGCCAGCAGCAGCTGCGGCACATGCGTCGTTCGACGAACTTACTTGTCCTTGCACACATTGCATGCATTACACGACAAGTTCGACACCCGACGAGCTTCCCCAAAATGGCAGACGGACAGACCCTCATTTTTGGAGTGGTATATTGAAAGCGCATCGCGCCGGGTCCGTCGCTTTCGCCAGAGCTAGGCTGTACGGCCCCGGAAACACTTTCTGCATCCCACCTGGCGCTCCCCAACCCCACTCTGCGCCGGCAGCCCCTCACACCGCCAAGTTCACAAGCTCGTCCGCAGCGATGTTCACGACGAAGCCGAGGTCTTGAACCGCCTTCGTCAGCGTCTGCAGGATGCTCCGCACCGGCGTCTCGACTCTGGTCCACCCCATGCGCCGCGCCATCTCCAAGACTCCAAGTCGCCTCTCGACACGGCGTCAAAGACGTTGGCTTTGGCGGCACCCGACGAAAATCGGGGAGCCAGTCGGTCAGCGCCGCTGTTGACCAGAACGCAGCCAGCACGCCGTTGACCGCGGGGTCGTTCTCGGGCGCCCTTGGTGAGGGCCCATTAGCCAGCGACGTTGTCGATGAACGCCAGCCATCTCTGTGGAAGTCGCCAGCGCGAGCAGCTTCAGCTGCGCCAGGATGTCCAGCACGTAGATGAAGGCGCCGCGAAGAAGTCGAGGAAGTCCGGCCGTGCGTAGAAAAGGGCGCCGATCCTGACGACGTAGCCCCAGCCGTTCTGGCCCCTGGTGCCGGGTTTGCTTGTGTCGCACCTCGCCCGGCTGATAGAACGCGTCGGCATTGATGAGTGTAGCCGGCGCGCCGTCCTCGATGTAGAGCACGACCTTGGCCTGTGGTTGTTCGCCAGCAGCGCCGCCCGAAGTCGCCGACGCGTCGTGTGCCTTAGCATAGACCGGCTGTGTAGTTCTGCCTTCCCGACGGCGCCAAAGGTGAACTGCGTGACGAAGTGCCGTCCCGCCAGGCGGTTGGCGACGTGCGGCGCCAGGTCATCCTGCGCCAGTGCCTCGTCAATGTCCCGACGGATCGACACCAGGACACCCGAATAATGTGTTGCTTGGTCGGGGCTGGATCCTCGCTGGGGCGGGCTGTAGCACTACCCGTCCCGACGGATCCACACCAGGACCCCCTGAATAATGTGTTCCTTGGCCGGGAACTCCACCATGCCCTCGAAGGCGCCGCCGGCCACAGCTCGTCGAGGTCGACCCCGTTGAAGTCGTCGAAGTGGCCCGAGACGTCAGCGCCTGCAGGGCGTCCGCCGTGCGGTTGAAGTTCCAGACCGACGCCGCAGCGCCGAAGCACATCGCCGATCCGGTGCCGCCCGGAAGGTGCCCGAGTGCGACGGGTGCTTCACCGGCCACTGCGGTACGCGTTGAGGAGGTCGCGATCGAAAGCCCGAAGAGCCGGTGGAGTTGTGGCCGGCTCGTCGCCAGTCTTCACCCCTGCGAACCTTGGTGTCGCCTGGGTAGCAGTGAGGGATGAGACTTTGAGAGTGTCTGGAAAGGCCTACACAAGAGACCTTTAGCCTGTGTTCGCTTTCTAGAAGACGAGCTAGGGCAAGTGGACCAGAAGCTGCCCCGCTTTTCCGGAGCTGCAGCCAGGAGCATCAGATCGTCAGACGATTCTGTTGCAATCTTTCAACGCAGAGTGTCGGCACTACGTTGTGTTGCATGGCAAGTCTGGGACTTGAGACGAGCTGGTTCAAAGCATCTGGTTTTACGAGCAGCAGACTCGTCTTTGTGACGCTGGTTCGTTGAACTCCCGTTCTGTCTTCCGGGAAGCCGGACGTCGTGGGAGTGTGCTGAAAAGTGTGAAGCCTTAGGGCCTTAGGTGTAGGCAGTGCTTTTGTGTCGGTAGGCCTGCTAGAGTGGTAGTAGAGTGCAGGGTAGGCAATCAGTGCTGTGGTGAACGGTAGGCCTGCTGCTGGAGTGGCAGAGTGCTCCGTGCCAGGACTTCTCCATGATCGTCAAAGTGGCCGAGGAGAACCATGAGAGGATCGCCCGGACGAGCATCTGCACCGCGTCAGGCGCCCGGTTGAAGTTCCAGACGCTGGCCGCCGCCCCGCTAAGCACATGGCGAAGTGGAACCACAAAGTGGTTCGCAGACGGGAAGAACGTCCCGCCGTGGTCCGGGTGCTTGACCGCCCACTGGCGGTAGGCGCTCCGTGGCCGAAGACCATGGAGGACGTGCCGTTCGCCCACGAGGCCCAGCTCGCAACCACCCACTTCTTCGTCTTGCTTGGTCTGCAGACCAAGCCTTCCAAGGCGCAGGCGCCTGTCAAAGAACACGTGGTCCAGGGTGTCGAGGTCGCACCACGACCCACGGGGAAGCGCCAGGCCCGCATCTTGGCTCAGATCGACGAGGCCTTGCAGTGTGATGGGCTGTCGCCGGACGCGGCTTCGCGCCTGGATATGGGCAACGACGCCGCGGCGAAGTGCTGCGGTCTCTTCCGTCCTGGCGCCGGATTGCTCCATGGCATAGACGTGGCGACGCCACGCTTCAGAGCACAAGGCCCGCCTGTCGTTCACAATCTCCCTGTATGATGAATCTCGGCTTGGGAGGCGCCGCGCTGAGCGGTGTCCTGGGCCATCTGTGGGACCGCCTTCTCGGCGCGGCCGGAGCGGCCTTCCCTGTAACACTGCCCCTCCGCCCTCTCGGGTGCAACGACCAAAGTGCGTCGCTGCAGCCGCATCCAGTGGCCGAAGTGGATTACCACGTCGACGCCGGCATTCAGGGTGTTCTCAATGACGGACACCGCCGCAGCAATCTGAGATACATTGGAGGCCGACATGGCATCGACGAGACGAGCTAAAGAGAGGCTCAAATCGTCGGGGCGACGAAGGGCCAGCAGCAGCTGCGGCACATGCGTCGTCGAACGAACTTGTTCCTGCACACATTACATGTGTTACACCACAATTGGCAAGGTTTAACCTTTGAGCAAAAGCTTTCTTTCGTTGTTGAACCTAAACCCTAAACCCTCTTCGGAGACCCCCACAGCAAGGCTTTAATTTGGCTGCATACCACACCACATGCTCCCAAGAGACTCTTTAAACTGTAAACTTAAGCTTTTCTTCTACGCCTGCGCTGCCAGCCCTGAACCCTACAAGGCCATAAACGGATGTGGTCCTGCAACTGGGGCAAACCCTTAGACTGGCAACAAAAGGAGAACAAGAAACCAGCGATGTACACCTACCCCGAGATGGGCCCAACGCCAAAAACAGATTTAAAGGAAATGGGAGGCCCTCGACAAGGAAGCGCTAACCCCAGCCCTAATGTCATGTGCACCCTGAAGCCTCAAATCGGCTCGCGAGAGGCTAGCACTCAGCTCGACGAGAAATCAGAAAAATCGAAACCGACAGGCACAACAGGAGTTGCGTGGCCAGCCTTAGCCCCTAAAACGAGATAGGCACAGAGGGTCGGACCGCGCAGACGAGGCCGAGCCTGAAGATTAAAACGGGAATGGAGAGCAGCAAACCGAGCGAAGTTATCCCAAATCCCCGAACGGAGATGGGCAGAAAGTCCACAAGAAGATGCAGAGAAGGGAAGCCCAGTGGAATCATTGAAGCCTCCTGATCAGAAAGATTGGCCTACGTCTGAAAGGGCAATGGACAGTAGCACAGTAGCAAACCCTAAACCCCGTGAGAATCGAAACCGCAGAATGACAAATCTTGAAAGGAGCTGAACCCGAAATTGAGAACCTGCCCTGCGTTCGAAACGCTTGCATCCTGGAAGTTGAATGAAAGGACCGCCGCCAAGACAAGTTTGAAGGTAGGGAACATAATGCACACTATCTGCGCAGGTCCTTCAGTTTCAAGGCACCTTCCAGAGCGACTGGATAATGGATGCCCATTCCACTGAAGATTGCATTCGTGGCTAAGCGAAAATACCTCAGACGTGCCAATGTTGTCAAGATCCCACCGTACTGCAGCTGGTCACTCGTGACAGAACCCTTCTTTGAGCCGGGCTTGGAAACAACCCTAGTCTGGTCGGTCAGCGCTGACAACCTTTCGAAGGACTTGACTTGCCAGTGTGTCCCAGCATGTGCCAGACTCAGCCACTGGCCATCTTTCTATACTATCCGGCACAGAGTTCAAGGCAGCACAGTAGCTGTTCAGCCTCGCACGGAAATAGCACACTCCTTGAGAAACTGGAAGCCGGACAAACTGCCGCTGGAGCTAAAGCACGAGGCTACCACATTGTCTCCGACAACACTCCTCGCTGCTTTCCCAAACGAAGCGCCATCAAAAGAAGGGCAACAACCTGGCACGACTGTCGAGAGTCTTGAAAAACGACATGTTGGCCACTAGCCACGGACAAACGAGGATCTGAATTGCCTGGCATGTGAAAGCCTTCGTTGACGCGACGCCAATCTCAGGCCCAGCATGCAGGTACATGCCCGCATCTGTCCTTAGTCGGTATGGGTGCAACATTGATGAATTCATGGATTGCTCATGACGCATGCAGGTCAATGCAATTACCCTGTTTGTTGGGACTGGTGCTCACGGGCAATGCTGGAGCCGACAACATTGACAACTCCAATGGTGAGGGCCTTAGCAATGCAGCTCACGGATCCCAGCAAGAATGAAGAGCATCTTTGGAACAGGCCGGCCTGATAATGCTTGGCCATCTTGATAGCCTAGATGTCGCCGGCTTCAACCACAGCTCTGAAACCGAGCCAAGGATCGGTGCCTCCAGGGTGTCTGCCGTCTCACCACTTTGTGAGATGGCAATCAGACAGTCCGACTTGCCTGCGTTTGCAACAGGCCACAAGGGCTTGCCGCAAGCAGCCGCTTCAAAGCTGAGGAGCGAACAAATCAGCGGCTTGCGGTATCTGAACTCGCTGGCCTCCATGCGACCATGCGCTGTCTCAGGCTTAGAGACATTGCAGTTGTAAAGCAGACCGGACCTCAAACCATAACATAATCTGTGTTCATGCCGCCCGGCACTGGCGCTTGGCTCGTTCAAGATTCTCGTGAAATTCGGGGCTTCCATGACATCCCATCTTTCAGTGAATGGGGCAGAAACTGCAGCACAGAGCAGCGAGAAGCCATTGAGAGTTGGACGTATTCCACTTCGGCTGTCACTCCAGCCAGCTTCTCAAAAGCCTAGGTCTGATGTTTGGGAGTCGGGCCACAGATCCAGGACATTCTCACAGGCTCGGCACGTACTTCGCAATCAGCGAAGAATGCCAGGAAGTTCCACAAGCTGCGAAGATGAGTCTGCTGGAGTTCGCCATCCTCTCCTGAAAAATTATCCAAAGATGTCTGGCACTGCGAAATTTGGGATCAGCAAGGCTGGGGAGGCTGCCAGCGGGCTGGTTCCATCGGAAGACGTGCCCTCTTTTGCCTGGAATGGCCGCAATGAAAGTCCACGGGACCACAGAGCGTGTCTTCCGCAACTGCCTTCTCCAAGCCTCCCAACTTGATTTCCCATTTCTCAGGCATGTCCTGTCTTGACAACGACCAACCGACCATTGTCTCTGACATAATCCATGATTTGCACAGCAGGTTTACAAAAAGGCCGCAGAATTAATTTAAGATGTTTTTCTGGTAGTGTTGGTTTGTCTTCGGTTCTGTGGTCCAGGTCTAAGCGACGTGCTCATTCCACATCGCCGTGTCGCTGTCGATTAGGCGTTGCTCATTGACGTCTCCAGGCACTTGTGTCGCTGTCGTCCGAGTTTTCCTAGTCCAAATCACGAACGACAACTGGGCTTGCCTTCTGTGAGGAAGTAGTTAGCCGTTAGCCCAGTTAGCCCTTTCCGAGAAGCAGTCAGAGGCATCCGATGCGTGCCCAAACCCCGTCCGCCCTCAAAGCTCACACCGCCCCACCCCATCCCACCACCCCCACGGCCTTCCCCCCGCCTCCATGGTCCCCAGCGTCCTCACTGCCCTCCTGGGCTTGCATTCTGTGAGGAAGTAGCTAGCGGCCTCCAATGCGTGCCCACCCCTCCGCCCACACCGCCCTCACGCTCACACCGCTCACACCGCTCCCACCCCGGCCACACCGCCCTCGGCGATTCGCCCACCTGTCCTCACCGCCCCCACCCCACCGCCCCCACAAAAAGAGAAGAGCTTCGGCCACAGCCAAAACGAGCTGCGGCTACAGCGAAACAGCGCCGCAAGACCCTGCACCAGTCCTAATCTGCAAGGAAAGGTATGCTCATGACAGGATTCACGATTTATCTGGGGGTCGGCGGCAGTGGCGGCAGCAGTTCAATAGAAACATATACATATATATATATATATCATATATATATATCATATATATCATATATATCATATATATCATATATATCATATATATATATACATATATATATATATGTATAACTATACTTATAATATATATACATATATATATATATGAAACACCCTCCTCATTTGGAATTTCAAAAACAATACACTAAAAAAAAAAAGTAACGCAGTTCCTTAGAAAAACGGGTCCACCGGCTGGTATATCCGCCCACGCAGAGCATTGCGCATGGCATTGGGCTGATCCTCGGGCACAATAACCGAAGCTTCGGAGATTTCTCGTTCAGCCAGAACCAGGCCCTGGCCATAATTTCTTTGAGCATGAAGTGCTTGAAACCACCCTTCTCGATTTGTTCCAGCCTGGTTGACACTGAAATGCAGTTTGTACTGCAGGCGGGCACTGGGCTTGCCACGATAGCTCAAGTCTCACAATCGGGTTCTCTCCCTGAAAGGTCACCGCTCACCAACACGCGCTTACACCTAACGGGAGTCTCAGGAACACGCATCCTTGCGAGGACTCCAAGAGTTTTTGCCCAAGCCAGAGACGATCTTTTGCAGCTCGGACACCTTCGCAACACTACGGATAGTGCCAAGAGGAGCGAAGCTGCCACAGCGCCAGGAGGCGGCTGCTCCGTTCGGCTCTGAGGTGCACAGCTTGCAGCCCTTGCCGCCCTTGTAGCCCTTGCACCTTGAAGCCGGATCTCCGGATTTCCACAAGCTCACCCTCGCGCAAGTACACGACGTCCTTCAGCCGGATCGTCTGAAGTCACTAGCAGAGCACGTTGCTCCAAGGCCAAGGCCTTTGTATGCTCGATAATCGCAGAAGCGTCGCTGGCAAGCATGTGTTCTCCGTGCCCGACCTTGGCAGTACCAATGGATCCGACACAAATTTCTAGCTCTCTGGCATTATTGGCCGACTATCGAGCCTTGCGACCCTCTTCCTCTCTTCCTCTCATGGGATCCACACCTCTTTTGTCATCTTGACTTTTGTAGAGCATCCAGGCAAGACAGAACATGTTCAAGAGGACAATGAATTGAGCTTTCAGCAGTTTGCTCAGCTTGGACACGTTCGACGAGGGACTTCTCTGAGTCGTCGAGCTGTTCTACTGCCCGTGTTCAGTTTTCAGAGGCCGTGTGTGAAAAGCGTTGCGACAGTGCTTACAGTTGATAGCAGCTTTTAGCCTGCAACTGTCACTCCCTGCTCGTCTTGGTAAGTCGCCGCGTACTTCACGTTCCAAACCCAGGTCTTCGGAATATTGCACAAGAACAGTAGCCTCGCTTATACACACCAGCTTGGAGGATCTTCTTATGAAGAAGGTATCTGCAGCTGAGGATGTACAGACATGATCGCTGAACTTGCATCGCGGTGGACGGCAATGGTTGGACACGGTTTCTCTGATGATTCTCAGCATGGAGAAGAAACAGCCGGCAATGGGCCAAAAGTTGCAGCAAGGGTTGTTCGGTTCTGGTGCAATGAGATTTTGGCGGCATCTGCCAACGCTTCACGATGCAACCTGAACACTACGATTTGTACTTCACTGAAATTCACGCGTTCAAATACCTGTGGCAGCAAGATCTATGTTGAATGCCCTGACAAAACTTGCTCAACAATGTGTCGCTATTTTGTCGTCACAACTTGCACAATGGCTCGTGGCAGGCGCGGCGGGGGGAAGTCTCCAGTCTCGAGAGCATGAAAAGGTCTTGAAGCAGTGAAGGGCAGCCCGAACTGCCTCCGCAACAGCGTGAAGCAAAAAGTTGTGGGCCACATTGGTTAGCAAATTCTAGGGGGATGTTCGGACTCGCCGACACCGAAGCGATCTCTACAGTGTCGCATGGGATGATTCTGAGAAAGACACTCCAAGAATCAATGGCGAGCCCTTCCTTGCGCCGATGATCAAGTCTGGTTCGTCCTCTCAAACAGAGGAGAAAGCCAAAACACCGCTTTGCATTTGACATCTTCCCGCCACACACTGCTCACAGCCTTTTAGTTACCTCGCAATTTGGGTTTATCGGCAAAACTTGGCTACATGCGACGCTAAAACTGAGAACATTTCCGTCTGACCTATGTAGGCAGGGATGCTTGGAATTAACAAGTGGCGACTCACAGTGGATGTTCTGCTCCGGTCAGTCGGCTCGTGCTTGTTCGTCGTATCATGTCGCTTCTTGCCGGATTTGTTTGCTGTGCGTGGGGAGGTGGGCATGTTCAAAGCAACGAATATCCCGCAGCTCCAAATGGACTGTATCTTTCTCCGGCTGGTGAGAGTTTGTCTCGATGCATTGGTGAGACATGGGCCGTCTGCCCAGCTGAGGCACTTCAGCAGTAGCATCTGCGGGCTGTTTCCCACTGCATGTACCGTGCTGATCGGAGAATTGCAACCGTGCGCATGTTCGGCGACAGTGCACCAGCGAGATACACGGTTTCACTGTACAAACTCATCCGAAAAGGAACATGCAGTAGCAGGCTTACTGAAGTCAATGCTTCTGCTGCAGACGAATGTCATAGTTCCTGACTGCAGTTACGATGTTTGTCAGTTTCTGTTGCACCAAGCTGACTTCTTGTTGTAGTTCCACACATCGGGGCCTTCCTTTGAACTTGATGGTTTTCGTGTAGGAGATATGATAAAGCTTGGCCATGGCGTGTAGTGCTTCCATCTCTGCAGTGCTATCACCTAAAGCCACCAAGTTTGCAATCGTTTGAGAGTTCTCTTTCACCTGGCAGAAGGCTTCAACTTTCCACTGTGTTGGATCATCTGGGAATTTCTCCTCGAACCTCGCCCTTGCGGATACAATCTCGACATCCTTCAGGTGCTTCGCCAGCGTGGGCAAATACTTGTCTGCGCTGTGCTGCACCCATCCTTCAATCGCGTTGGTGATGATGATCACGGTCCCCAGCGTCTTTGCCAGCTCCAGCAGTTTCACGGCTTCTGCTTCCAGGGCCAAGAGGTCTTTGGCAACAGGTGGCCGAGTCGACTGTATGGCAGAAGTACAGAGGAGTGTGTCGTCCCAGTCGAAGATGATGAGGGTGCAGTGTTGCTTCGGCCTGTCTTCCCTGGACTGGTATACAGCATCGCGCGGCACAGCGTCTTGCGGTGCCATGCGGCCAGCTATGCCCAGCCTGAAAAGGTATTTGGCCTTTGCCGCCCCACCATCAGATTCTGGCTGCGAAGTAGCTTCACCAGAACCAGAATCCCCAGAATCTGAAATTCGTGGCGTGTCACCATCCTCAAAATTTGAGGCCGTGGGTGACCCTGTTTCCACCGTGAACTCCGGCAACGGCATGGGTAACACCGGTCACAGGTTGAGGCAGCTGCAGACTTGGTGCGAAAATACATCAGCGCTCACTCGGAAACAAGCAGACCGAAAACAGAGATTAGCTAGCACAAGATGTTGCCTTGTCCGCTGGGGTCCTCGAAGATGAAGGCCACGCCATATGCTCCCTCACAGAGCCGGAGAGCTGTAGCGACGACCTAACAGCTGTGGCCCTGCTCACACACACACAGCCGCAGGGCAACTGTGAGGCATCGGGAAAATCTGCATAAGCGCAGCATTCGAATGTTATAAAACCAACAAGTTGCACCTCTGTGTACGTTGCCCCCTCCATCTGCTTCTTGAGGTCCTGCAGTAAGCAGTCTCGTAAGTTGGTCCAGCACACAGCCTGCATGTCCTGTACAAGGTGAGCGAGAAGCTCGGTGTCCGTTTGACTCACGAACTTGTAGCCTTTGCTGGAGAGCCTTAGGCAGAGACCGAGTAAGCACGGACAAGCAAATACAGCTTGACCTGTTTGCATTTCTATGGAGGTAGCTGCTCTTTCAGCGCGGCATAGTTCTCGATGACACCGTTGTGCACTACGGCAATGCCTGACACAGAACCAATCTTCGATGCCCACAACTCTTGGCTCGCTGAGATCCAAGCTCGACTCCGCGGTCGTTTGGGGGTGAGCGTTACAATCTGTAGGCTTGCCGTGAGTTGCCCATCTGGTGTGCCTAGGTGGAAGTTACGCCAGCGCCCACAACACAGAACTTGATCGTCTGGGGGGCCCACGCAATGCCCAGCGTGCCAGAAACCTGGGTGCCAGCATGTGCCACATCCTCCTCCAAGTTGGACACCTAGTCGGTTTCTCATGCCCTGCCCACAGTGTCCCAAGTTGGAAACCGATGGGAATTGCAGCGTCAGGCCTTCCCAGCTTTCTTGCGGACCTTCAGCGGCACGCCATGGATGCCGATGCCAGCAGAGTCATATCCGCGATATCTTAGCAAGGAAGCTTACCACAGCGAGTCGTGCACTCTGAATGTTGATGAGAATCTTGGGCGCTGCGCTCCAGGCGCTTCAGCGCAGTTATCAACAGCGAAGCTGCCTGGCCCAACTTACAAACCAAGTAGTGCAATGCTGTACGGCACTTCAATCTTGTCGTGAGCTCGAGCTGTGAGGCATACCAGACATACCAAACCAGCAACCCGCCATCATCAAGGAGCGGTGTGGTACGTGCGTCTCGATTCAGCATGTGTCCGATGCATAACGCAATCAATGCAAGAGGGGTATGTTCGCAGCCAAGGCCTTTGATGTGTCAAAACTCTCACAGCCTGGCACACCCTCTACAGTACCTGCCCTGAAGGAGTACCTACACGGACCTACACCCTCAAGCCAAACCCAGCAAATCACTTGTGCTGCCCGCGCCTCCCTGTTCCCAATATAGGCAAAGATTCCACACATAGAAACTCCTGTGACAACAGTCCGAATCACGACTGCGGCAATACAAGAACTTGCCCGGCCTCGACGGGCTTGCAGAAGACCCAAACTTGAATTCGCTCGAGCCACAAAAGTGCGAGTACACCAGTCGATTAGTAAGGCATGCTGCGTAGCCATCGCCCTCGCGCCCTCAACTGCAGTCCGAACAGTTCAAACAATACAACTATTGGGCAAGGATCAGCATGAAGCAAGTGCTGTTTTCTCGGACATGTACTGGAACTGTTCCATGCAAGCTACAGAGCACTCGTCACAACATCGGAGTCATGGAATGACCTGATACTTAGCTGTGAATGACGACATGACAACGGTGCACATTACCTGGAACGCTGCAGACTGGTGGACTGTCACGGACCAAGCGTGAGACAACCAGGTGAAACCCCATGCTTTAAAATGTTGGAAGGAAGCATCACTTCAGCGAATGCCTTCTCTGGCTGTCTTGCCAGTCTCATTAGCAACTGTATCATCTGCACCCTGACGAACCATCACATTGACACCGCAAGTTCGTTCGACGAGAGCCAAAAGCAAAATAAGGGTCCTACAACGAGCCTTTTCAATGAAATACTCCGCAATATCCGCATAGCCATATGCGAAAAGAAAGTGCAGGCCAGTATTGCCTGCAAAGTCTAAGGACCAGGTCTTGGCACACAAGCTCGCACATCACTTTACACAAGGTCAGTATTGAGCGCATCACCCTTGGCATTTTGTGCATCCATGTCGCCACCGTACTTGATGGCCTCGGTTGCATCTGGGCTTAGACGAGCGCTTTAGCATGACAAGCTTGCCCGAGTCTCTGACAAGCTTGCATATCCTTTTGTTACCGTTCTGACAGGCGACATGGAAGAGTCGATTGCCTCAGGACAGGGAAGCGTGGGCCAGCTATGCAGCAGCTTTTTCGCCCCTGAGCAACACACCGAACGAGTCTGCGTAGTCGGGGTTGAAGCCGGCCAACAGGGCCGCTTCCACCTCCTTATGCCTGCTAAGTGTTGGCTGTGCAGGTCCTACATTAGGCATGCTTATCAAGCGCGTGGGACTGCCGGTGTGTCGAAACAACTGACCGGCTCACAGCCCAGCTCACAGAAAGCACAAGAAGCATATTCCCACCTACGTTCCTCTTCTCTGAGACCACCGTCGCAGGCTGACAAGTTAGCCCCTCACATGACAAAGATGTCCTAAGAAGATACATGCATGTCGTTCGAAGTCCATGCCACTTTCAAGAAAACTATCACTCTGTTCTTGCTCTCCTACCGGGGCATCCCGTGTCTTTCAGTTCAGCTTCCATACATTGGCCCGTGATTGCTGCTACGTCGAGGACGTGCCGCTCGAACGAGAGAGCGTTTTTCATGCCTGATTCTAGTCGTCCTAGTGCCGCCTGCTCTTCACCATTTCTTTTCTAGTGCATGTTCTGGCAGCCAAACACAGAGCATTCTCGAAAGACAGCGGAAGCTTGGTTGAAGTGCTTCGCACGTAATGTTTCGACGGTCTCCCCGCAGCGCAGTTGTGCTTGGCATCACCCGACGACTGTTCTGCTGCAACACGGGCCCCTGTACGAGTCCGTACACTGCAGCCCTAACCGCTCTGCATGTGGATCGCTGAAACGAAAATGCAAGCAAGGCAGATTTGCTGGTGCTTTGTTGCCAACTGTTTGCTCACTTCTCCGCTGTGGCATGACCATAAGTTTTCAGATGTGACCGGCCAGCAAACCTCAACTTCGGGGACCAAGGAAGCTTAACTTTGCTGAGTCTTTGCGCGTAGCGTTCGGGCCAGGTACTAGCTCTGCCACGACATTTGGAGTCTGCCGCCGATCCGAAGCCTGGCCTCCCGTGTCTGGCCGCACTGTACACCTGCGCAGCTCGCATGAGAGTGTCGAGTCCTGCATTCTGTATGTCACAATATGCCTATCATATGTTCACTTCATTAAAGTTCCATGCATACCCTGCATGAGCCTGTCGAGGATCCAAAGACACCTCTTCCTCGACCTGCTCCCTCACCGCACCTGTCGCTTGCAGCGATTTACGACTTTAGGTGCTCGTCACCAAAGTGCCTGGTGGCGGTGGCGGGCTCCTACCGGGCTCAGCAGACGGCGCAAACCTCCGCCGAGTCCCAAACGCATGTTGAGCGTCCATATGCAACCTGGAAGCCCTGGAAGCCACGGAAGCCAGGGCCAAGACGCATCGAATGCTGCCGCCATAACAGCTTTCTGCTTGCGTCTGTCAGCCTGGGCTGCAGGTTGCGCCCTCTGCCTGCAAGCAACACGAAGCTATCGCCTCTCGGCGTTGAAGTGGCTGGCTGTGGGTGAGACCTGAATGCAGACAGAATGTCCCTGCAGCACTGGGTGAGAGAGCCGTTTCAGGGACACCGGGCCATGCTCATATAAGCTTCCGAGCTCAGCTATGCGAGCTGAGCCCACCTCAAGACCGCTTCTCTCGCCGGCTTTATACCGCCACTTCTTCGGAAGCTGGCACTCGGCGCGCCACAGACGAACTGGCATCATAGAAGGATGCAAAGTCAGAAGACCTTGCGGATGGCTCCGGCGTATAGAAGGTGGAGGTCCTCGAGGTAAGTGCTATCCTTCACACGCTAAGCTTTGACTCCATCTGCCATCTGACTCATGTGCGGCTTCGTCCTGGCACTGAGATCTGGAAAGGGACCAGACGGATAGGCCCCACAGACAGCGGCCTGTGGAGCGAGAGAACTGACCTAGAACTGTTGGAGCAGACAGCAACTGATATGCTTCTGCCAGCAGCCCGGAACGGAGCTCTGCCAGGAGCTTCAAAAGACACACAACACAGACTGAAAAGCGGACCTCGGCAGGGGTGGGCGTGTACGCCCGGCCCGAACCTATGCTCCTGTGCGAAATGCGTCTCAAATGCTTCCACACATTAGGTTTTCGAGATCTCGTGCAAGCTGCTCGCAGCACATGGTATCTTTGTGGCCTCATAGCTTCGTGGAAAATTGCCCCAAGAAATGGAAGAATGCAGACCCTGCCTGTCGCTACGATGTTTTGAGGAGGGTAAGAACAGCCAGCACGAACGACGTATTGAATCAGAGAAAAAGGTCTTTAAGAAACGGCTTTTAGAAAGCCGAAGCATTCTCTCCACATGTTCAGCCACAGACTGTGCGGCTTCAACACGTGACACAGCTGTTGACGAAACGGTACATCCTAAAAAATCGGAGGTCGACAATAGCAGCGCTCCCCGCGCAACGACAAATATACATCCAACCCGAGACCTCAACCCGCCAACCTTGCAAGCCCACCCTAGCTTCGCGCACGGAGGGTGTGCGCAAGGACAACACGCGGATTCGCCCACGTCCGTAGTGGCTCGCAACACCCTCGAAACCGTAAACCCTGAAAGCCCTAAACTCTTGAAACATCTTAGATGCCATGACAGGAGAAAGCTGAAACCCCAAAAAATGAACTCAAAAAACCCGAAACCACAAATCTCCGGACTCCAAAATCCCTCCTTGCAAACCCGCCTTCCTGAATGCACGTGCTTAAATCGCACATTGAATCGGCTTTGCAGCTGGAATCCCCAGCGCTTGCATCTGGATCGTGTCCGAGTCGCTTGTGCTTGATACGGCTGTGCTTCAATGGCAGGTGATTGTGTTATATTTACTGGCGATAGGCCGAACCGCAAAGCTTAGCTCGTGGCCAGTTCTCGAAACGGGCTTCAATGTCAAAAAGACATGACCCTACAGACGCGGAACGAGATGTTGAGTAATAAGCCCAAAGCGAAAGAAGATGCTACACGGCACGACCAGAAACCAGTAACACGAATTGATGGATGGCAAAACCTAAACCCGAAAAACACATGCTAGGTGGGTCCTGAAATGCATAACTTCACTTTCGGCTCAACCCTAAATGGGCGCAAAGGGCCAACTGCCCAGCCCCTCCCCCACTTTAATACCCTCCCCCACTAAATTAGGTGGGAGATGCAGGGTGGTTGGTCAGATAACGCTGGACACCAAAGAAGGCCTTGAGACATGCAGGGCTGTTGTCGGGAAACCCCAAATCCTGAAACCTCCTCCTCCTACTACCAAAAAATTACACCAGCGAAGACCACAAACAGATTGCATCGAATCACGCCGGTTCAAGTTAGGCAATATTTTTGCGCAGAAGAAGAATGGGTTGTGATGACATCCGCACGGCAAGGAAGCGTTCTTGTTTGGAAAAAAGAACGGCGTGTCCTA